TGAAGAAAGAAATCAGGGAAGACACAAACAGATGGAAACATATACCTTGTTCATGGATTGGAAGAATTAACATAATCAAAATGTCCATACTACCCAAAGCAATATACAGATTCAATGCAATACCTATTAAAGTACCAATGGCATATTTCACAGACATAGAACAAACACTTCAAAAATTTATATGGAACCATAAACGACCCAGAATAGCAGCTGCACTTTTGAGAAAGAAGACAAAAGTAGGAGGGATCACAATACCTGATATCAAACTGTATTACAAGGCCACTGTAATCAAAACAGCCTGGTACTGGCATAAAAACAGGCACATAGACCAATGGAACAGAACAGAGAGCCCAGAAATAAACCCAACTCTCTACAGTCAATTAATATTTGACAAAGGGGGCAGTAACATAAAATGGAGTAAAGATAGCCTCTTCAATAAATGGTGTTGGGAGAACTGGACAGCTACATGCAAAAAAATGAAACTTGAGCACCAACTTACACCATACACCAAAATAAATTCAAGGTGGATAAAAGACTTAAATATAAGTCATAACACCATTAAAGTCCTAGAAGAGAACATTGGCAAGAAAATCTCAGATATTTCACCCAGCAACTTCTTTACTGATATGGCCCTTAGAGTAAGGAATGTAAAGGAAAGAATAAAGAAATGGGATCTCATCAAAATAAAAAGCTTCTGCATGGCTAAAGAAAACAGTATTAAATTAGCAAGACAACCAACTGTATGGGAAAACATATTTGCCAATGATACCTCAGACAAAGGTTTAATCTCTAAAATATACAAACAACTTACACGACTCCACTCTAAGAAGACACCCAACCCAATTAGAAAATGGGAAAAGGACTTGAGCAAACACTTCTCCAAGGAGGACATACAGAACATTCAGAGACACATGAAGAGATGCTCAATATCATTAGCTATCAGAGAGATGCAAATTAAAACCACAATGAGATACCACTTTACACCAGTCAGGATGGCTATCATAAACAAAGCAACAAACAACAAATGTTGGAGGGGTTGTGGGGAAAAGGGGTCCTTAGTTCACTGTTGGTGGGAGTGCAGACTGGTACAACCATTATGGAAAACAGTATGGAATTTTCTCAGAAAAATAAAAATTGACCTGCCTTTTGACCCAGCAATTCCACTGCTGGGATTATATCCTACGAATCCTAAAATATCAATATCAAAGAACCTATGCACCACAATGTTCATAGCAGCACAATTTACAATAGCCAAGAGTTGGAAGCAACCTAGGTGCCCATCAGTAAATGAATGGATCCAAAAATTGTGGTACATATACACAATGGAATTCTATGCTGCAGAGAGAAAGAAGGAGCTACTACCATTTGCAACAACATGGATGGAACTGGAAAGCATTATGCTGAGTGAAATAGGCCAGGTGGTGAAAGACAAATACCATATGATCTCACCTTTAACAGGAAGCTAAACAACAAAACAAACAAGCAAGCAGAAAAAAAACAAAAACAAAAAACAAAGACACTGAAATAGAGAACAAGGGGATAGTGACCAGAGGGGAGAAGGAAGGGAAGTTAAGGGGAAAAAGGGGGAGGGATTTGGAGGAACAAATAGGAAGGACACAGGGAGGAGAACTAAGGCGGGTGGAAATGGGAGGGAGGTGGGGAGCAAGGGGTCGGGGGAGGCTGGGATGGGAAAAATAGACAAAAAACTGTACTTGAAAAATAACTAAATAAAAATTTTAAAAATATATATTTTATTGATTATGCTTAAAAAAAATTCTTTTTTCTTCATTCTGTTCCAGTAGAATGTTTCTTTCTTCCTTTTGTTCCAAATCATTGATGTGAGTCCCAGTTTTTTTCCTTTCATTGTTGGTTCCCTGTATATTTTTCTTTATTTAATTTTGTGTACCTTTCTCTTCTTTTTGTATTTGGGGGCTGTACTCAATTCTTTCTGTGAGCATGTTGATTACTAGTGTTTTTAACTCTGCATCTGATAGATGCTATCTCCTAGTCACCTAGTTATATTTCTAGAGTTTGGGGGGGTTCTTTAATTTGGTCTATATTTTAAGTATATTTTATTGATTATGCTGTTACAGTTTTCCCAAATCTCCCCCTATATCCCTCCTCCACCGTATTCCCCCAACCCTCCAGCAGTCCCACACCCTTAGTTCATGTCCATTAGTTGTTCAAATAAGTTCTTTAACTTCTAGATTTCCTATGCCATTCTTAACCTCTCCCTATCTATTTTATGCCTACCAATTATACTTCTTATTCTCTCTACCTTTCCCCCCATTCACCACTCCCCATACCCACTGAAAATCATCTATATAATGTCCACTTCACTGATTCCATTCCTGTTGTACTTGTTTGCTTACTTTTGCTTTTTAGATTCAGTTGTTGGTAGTGGTGAGTTTGTTGTTATTTTACTTTGTAAGGTTTTGATCTTCTTTGCCAATTTTTCTTTCTCTAGGCACACCTGTTGGTGTTGGAAGGGGCAGAGCCTTGGGTATTCTTCAGAGCAGGGCAACCCACATGGCTGGGTAGTAGAGCTCTACGTGTGGGAAGGGACAGAGAGAAAACAATGGCACTTTCTTGGCTTTCTCCATGCTTTCAAGACACTCGCATTTTTCTCCCACTGCCACAACCCCACAGGTTTTTACATCAGTGGTTCTGAGGATTTATTTTTTCCTATATGGAACCATGTGTTGTTTGCTCTGTGTTACTCCCCTGTTATTCCACTTGGTTTATCCACAGGCAAATATGAGACCACCTGGTCTGCCAAAGGCCACCTTGTTATGTTTCTTCTCTACCCCACTGCCCAACTCAGCTGCATCCACCAGTCTAGTTGACTGTTGCTTCTTTATCTCCTTGGTTGTCAGGCTTCCATTCAGTTCGATTTTCTGGTATTTCTAGTTGATTTTTGTTTTTGAATTCATTGTTTCCTTTTTCTGGTTGCGTGAGGAGGTGAAGTGTATCTACCTATGATTCCATCTTAACCAGAATTCTCATTTTTCTTTATATAAATGCATAAAGAAGAGGCTGAAAGTACCTAAGACTCAGTAGAACATACTGAGTTCTACTGAGTTCAAATAAAGAACATACTCCCACTTCTCCATAGCACCTCCAGATTGGTGACAATATTAGGTTCACACAAAAGGATCATGTCCCTGGATTTATACCTCACATTGTAACATTTTTCTCATTACACCCTCTACACACACACTTGTTTATTAGGGACTCAGGGTTCCTGCTGAGTCTTGGTGCTTAACATGCACATGCAGAAGTTGGCCTTTGCTCATTGATTGATGTGGCCCTTTCAGAAAGAGGCCACCATATCTGCACTTAGACTGGACATGTGGAGGGAGTGACAGGAGGCCTGTAATGGAGACTGAGAAGGACAAGTATGACTACAGTCACTGAAATGGCCATGCTCTCATTGCACTGGTCATTGGCTTGGAAGGGAGGAGAGGCCTGGGGACCCTGAGCAATGGCAGCTTCAAGGATCCCCAAAGCAAAAGTGAAAAACCAGAGGTTAGCCCCTGGATTGCATGGCCAGAGAAAATCCCCAACACCTCAGACTGGGTTCCTAGACATATTGGCCCTACCTGCTTCAGGAAATGTCCAAGCTGCTTCAGTGCAGTTGGAGGGACATTTTTGTGTTCACATGTTTCCCAGAGGCCCCTCTTATCTCATAATATAGTTGACGAGGACAGTCAGAGGACTTTTGCTTGCATTACTGAGAAAAGTCTCTGTGAATCATGTGGATTGTGCCAACACACCAGCAATGGCCAGAAGACAAAGTTGACTGAATTATTGAAAGTAATGTTGGAGATGGGGGCAGGGAAGCACCAATTCCAGAGTGCCCATACCAAGTGGTGGTGCGTGTGGATCCCAGATAGGGGTGTTGACTCCCAAGAAATTGTCCAATGTGAAATATGTCACATCCATGCCTGTGAAAATACACCACCCCCAAAAAAACTGGGAGGTAACAAAGCAGGTAGAAGGTGCCCAAATGAACCATGGAAATAATATTTTTTGTGAAAGGGATTAAGTAATGTGAGTGGTATTGAAGGTGTGAAAACGTCTTCGAGTATAAGTTGCCCAACGCACCCCCTCACTGACATCCCCTGGGAAGCTCTCCAGTAACCAGTGGAGGCAGGCTCAGTGGGGGCACACTTCAGGGGGTAAGAGAGAAAAATACATGAGCCACCACTTGGCATACACGGGCCATCACAGATGCCTGACTGTCCCAGGAGGAAGCCCAATGTAGAACCCAAGTGTGCAAAGTGGACATCCAGGCAAGGCTCAGTGCCTTGTCAAGAGGAGGAGATGACCTTTGTTCACTGTTTAGGGGAAAGTTCATCCATAGGGGTTCACCTGTGGAGTGAGAATTTTCTCTTAGGGGTGTGAATTGAGGGTAAGGATCTTTGTCATCACTGGGTGGAGGTTTCACTCACACAGATGGTGAGGGTCTTGGTCAGCACTGCCTGGAGGCCTAGGGTCTAGGACAGAGAAAGCCCAGAGGGGAGACTGGCCATGGTAAGCAGGCACAGGGTTGGCTCAGGGCTTCCATGGATCTGGGAACCTGAGAAGGCCACCATCACTATGACCTGAGAACCTGAAAGTACCCAGATGGACCTGGGGGCAGGGCATGAGGAGGACAGTCACACACCAGAGACAGGTTCAGTGTTGGGCTATGTGGGATGAAGGACAGAATGCCTTTCAGATTCTCAGCCTTTTTCCCTTGAGTTGTGCACTGGAGGGTGTGCACATGTCTGTGTATGAGAAATGCATGTGTGATGAGAGCTTCCCTAAAGCCTCCATCATATTCAACAACTAAGAAATAACTTTTACTTTGCAGATGCTTTATTGAAATGAAAATGTACATGAAGTTTCAACAATTGTCTTGCATTTGTAGATACAAAGATGAAGAAGGAAAGCTAAGCTGTGGCTTCTACTCCTGAACAGTCGGTTTCTGGACAATCTCTGAGGTCATGTGGAAGTTAGTACCGAGCACACCAAAAGCTACTGTATATTTGTTGCTGGAAAACAAAAGCAGAGACATCATTTACACCTTACTTGTTCTTACCAAGGAACATCCTGAAGAACAAACATGCATCCTCGTTGTTTTCCTGGATTGGTCCACACACATTGACTGGAGCTGGTGCTGGAAGAGAACCTGGAAATATTGCATTAGTTCTGTCTCAGGTGACCAAGAGTGATGCCAGAGGCGGCTTGTGCTGCCTGACCTTGTCTCCCCACCAGCATCTCTTCCCATGGTCATTTTATCTGCATGTTTCCTCTTTTTTGAAATAATGTAGCCAACGATATGCTGTGTTTAGTGTTTAGTACCTCAGTCCAAAAATGAGGGAATGTGAAGTTCTGAGTTCCTGTGTATTGGCAGAATAGCAAACAGCCCCATGCCACCCCTGTGGTTGACAACACACTGCAGGAGTATGTTCCTTGTGATTTGTCTAACAGAAAACTGAAAGAAAATATCCATCATCTTGATCTGAAGGGGCTCATAATTTAAATGTTTTTACTTACATTGAATACACATACAAATGTTACTCTATCACCACTTTCAATGCACAGCTAATCATGTGAAGAACATAGAGTTGGCAACCCACCTGATCCACAGGACCTGCTCTTCATGCTGAGATGCAGCTTCAGACCCTCCTCATCTGCCAATTTTCTCCCCAGCTGCCCTGTAAACCACTCTTCAACCTCTGTGTCTAAGAATTTGGCTACTCTACAAAATGTGATATTTGTCTCTTGGTGACTGGCTCATTTGTTTTTGAATAGTAACTCAAGGATCATCCATGCCATCCCCTGCGTCAGGAATTTCTTACTGATGTGCACTTTCCTCTGTGTGCTGTGGGAACCCCAAAATGTTGCAAACAGTATATTATGGCAGAAAATGAGCACTAGAAACCTCTACACAATATCTGTCATATGTGGAAAGACTGCCACATGTGAAACCATTGCTTTCTCTTTTCCCCTCTCCCACCACCCAGGGGGGATTCACAACCATGGTTTCTGTGTGTCACTCTGTGGCCTTTAAATTCATGGTCAAGGAATCCACGCACTGGTGCTAGCAATCCTAGGTTGCTGGACAGTAAACTGATGGTTGTGTTAATAAAATAGAAGGAATCTTCCTGACAAGCATGACCATCTCGTGCTTCCAGAGTTGTCACAAACTGAGAGCCTGAGTGTCCTGTCCCACAGATCCAAAGTAGTTAAAGAGACACTGAAATTACCTTCAGATCATCGACCTTGTCCAGAGTTTCTTCACTCTGATCGAGAAAGCATTGCTTCATGGCTGTGAGGGCATTTTCAGTTTCTTCACCTGGTATGAACTCTTGCAAGTTATTGATGTATTCAGTCACATCCACATCAGGATCAATGGTCATACTGATCACATCATCCATAATATCGCAGCCAACCCCTAGGAAAAAAGCAGGCAAATGCAGGCTCAGTGACAGAGATGTGAGCTCCATGTAGGGCCTGACTGTGAGTCTGTTTTCTTACCTCCCCCCAGGGACACGTGATCAGAGAGGCCATGGAAGGGTTTTTGTCCTTAGTTCTAGGAGACTCAAGTCAGGACCTGGGATTTTCTTTTAGTCTTAAAGCATCTACTTTCTTGTCCTTTCCCATGCCCACTCCTTATACACAGGACACTGACACTAGAGAAATGGGCTGTTCTGCTTGGGGGGATGGGGAGCAGCAGCACTTGCACAGGGGCTCTGAGCACAGCCCTCCTCCAAAGCCAGAAGCCTTTGCATGCTCACCTGCATAGCAGCACAGGGGCAGGGCAGTCAACATGAGGACTGTTAGCAGCTTCATGGTTCAGGCAGCTGCTGTGGACTGGTCACTTTGATGTCACAGGGGATAAGGAGCTCCAGTGGTGGTGACTGTCCAGAATGCAGCCTTTTATACTCCTGGTGGCTTCCCTAATACCTCCCATGAATGACTGAATGAGTCACAGGGTAAACCTGGCCCTTGGCCAGGACAGGACTGGGAGACTCTCCCAGAGCCAGCAGCCTGGGCTCTGTTCCTACAACCCCAGGGGACAGAGCTTTGAAAACCCTCAAAGGTCTCAGAACTGCAGTAATGGTGAGGACAGTAGATGAACTTAACATCAAAGTGCTTGCAAAATAATAAGGCAAATGACAACCTTGTGAGCCTCTCTTGTCATCCCTGTTGCTTTATTATTGTTGTGGTGCTCAATATCTCTTCCCCCTTCCCCAATTCTTTCCCCCCTTCTCCCTCCTATTCCTTCTTCACCTTCAACTCTTCCTCCTTCTCAACCACCCTGCTCCCCTCCTCTTCTTCCCCCACCCTGTTACTCCTCTTGTTTTCCTTTTACCTCTTCAGGGTACAACAACAAATTTCACACTCAGTCTGTGTTCCTCCTGATTCTGCAAACACCTGGTCTGGGTGCAATTCCACATGATGCCTCTGGAGAACAGACTTTCCTCTCCCACAAACTGCAATCCAAGTGCTTTTGCTTGGGAAACAGAAATAATTTCTTATCTTCCTTCAAAGTTGTTTTCACAAAGACTTTCTCACTTGGGTCAACTTTAAAATTAGTCATAAATTCATAATTAAGTTTAACGTTTTTTACTTCATTAAGATTTTTGTTCCACCAATTCAAAGGATGATTAGAGATGAATGCTTACAGATGCTGGGAGGGAGGGACTGATGTATGGTGAGAGGGTTATAACCTGGGCTTCTGCAGCTATATATTTACACCTTCGATGCAACCCCTAATCATGCAACCCCTAAGCTGGTTGTCCCAAGCTTCCTTTTCTTTATTTATGAAGTGGATACTCATGATCCCATGCCTGGCTTTGTAAGGATGGCTGACATTTATGTGAAGAGCCTATCACAGGACTGAAAGCAGAGTAGTTAGGACTAAATTGGAGGTTTAGTTCTTCCATTTGCCCATGCGCCCTTCCATCTATCCACCCATCATCAGTCCATCCATGCATTCCTGTATCCATCCATGCTCTTAACAACCATAAATCTTCTTGGATGGGCCCTGCATACATGTCACAAATTTCATTGCAGGAAAAAGTCAAGAAGGACATTGCACTTGTGCACCTTACCTCTAACTGGAAGTAACTAAGAAGACTGCATCTGGATAGGAGAGAAAAAGAGAATGATTGTGTCAAGAACAACAAAACGACCACTAGGGCAGCATCCTGTTGGAGGTTCAGGCAGGCTATTGGACTGGGACTTTTCAGCTCACCTGAGTGAATGCTATAACCCAGGGGACATTTGGGGACCAGTTGTCTAGGCAGAGGGAATATCAAGTACACTGGACTTGAGTGCAGGTAGCACCTGGCTAGCTGAGGAAAGCAAGCAACATGTCTCACTTGGTGTCATTGAGGGACATGACAGCCTCCCAGGACAGAAATACATCAATCTAAGCAGGGACAGTATGGAATGACAAGAGAAACAAAGTTGGGGGAGACTAAAGAGAAAAGAAATAGCTAAGAGAGCCTGAGAGATGTGTCAGCGATCAATTACCTGTGGACGTTCTCTTTCAGGATTGTTGGAGACTCATGTCTTTCCATCATACTCCTGATCCAAAGTTGTAGGGGACCGGTTTGTCTTGGCCTGGCAAATGTGACTCAGTTCTGTATGGAAAACCTACAGATGCGAAGTGGTGGGCAAGAGCCAGATCTTAAACTGAGTTTTCTTGTGGAAATAGGCCCTAGAACATGCTTACAGACTGTTATGGCTTGCTCTTGCTAAAACTCCCTCACCCTAATCTAAAGCAACAAATGTGTATTGTCTGTATTCAAGGTAACTTCCAAAGCCTGTGTGAGCTCTCCCAAGGACAGAGCTAATCAGCTCATTGCCATCCCCTTCTGCATGTTATTTTTATTTCCTTGATTGTACCTAGAATGTAGACAATAATGTTCTATGTGATAGATGAATCTTTCTATGATGTAAGACCCCAGGAAAACAATAAAAGCCTGTCAGGAGAGAGTCGGGGCGCTCCCCTCTTGAGGGAATAGCTGAGGAACCATAGGCACTCTCCCCTTGAGAGAGTAGTTGTGCCTGTTCCCTTTTTCCACACAGGATTGTTGTCACCTGTGCATTGATTCTCATCATCAAACACAACAGGCAGACTCTTCTGGACAGGGTCTGCAACATAAAGTCACCAAGAACAGTATTGATTTAGAAAAAAGCTAGAAATTAAAAGAAGGTTATGTTCTTCCATGTGAACTTTTACCCTGTTGACTATTGGTGGTGATCTTCATTCCAAAAGCAAGGAAAAGACTGTCATAAAGAAATGGATGCTGATTTCTTGAAGGGGCCTTGGTGAGGGCTCTGCACACTGCCCAGAAGTTACGGACCTGCCCTGATCCTGCTGCAACACTGGACCCTGTGCAGGTTTTTTCTTCAGCAAAAGCAATCCCAATTCACGTGCAATGAAGTGTGTGTTTCTTCATCTCTGTCCCTCTGCATAGCCCATGGTGACCATTCTGAATGCATCAAAGGACTTTAACTCCACTCACAAAACACACATTTAAAAACAAATGTTCTTGCCCTGGCTGGTGTGGCTCAGTGCATTGAGCATGGGCCTGTGAGGCAAAGGGTTGTCAGTTCGATTCCCAGTCGGGGCGCATGCCTGGGTTGCAGGCCAGGTCCCAGTGGGGGACACATGAGAGGCAACCACACATTGATGTTTCTCTTCCACTCTTTCTCCTTCCCTTCCCCTCTCTCTAATAAAATAAATAAAATATTTTAAAAAATAAAAATAAAATAAAAACAAATGTTCTTAAGCAGAAATAGAAGAAATAAAAGTCATGAGTGCTGGTATTACTGGCCTGCTCTTTTCTCCTCCCGAAGGTACTTTGATTCAGGTTCCCAAATTTAATTTAGAAATGAAGAAATAAGGTAGCCTTATTTTCCATGTTGGTATGACATTTACTGACCACCGGCTATGATAAAGCATGCTGTAGAGAAGAACTATTCTTATTTTACCCTGGATAGCTTGGGTCATGGGGCACAGATACATCTGCGGTAAGTAAGAATTGTATTAGGCCTCTCCTTCAGCTCATTAAAGACCTGAAATATACTCACACTAATATTTTGTCATCTGAGGTCTTGCCAGGCTCAATAAAAGTAATAACATGCAGTGAAAGCTGTTTTTCCTCAGTGATTTGTGCATTGGCACCAAGCCAATGAAAGAGTTCTGAAGATCAGATGATACCTAACTTTTGTTCATTGTAAATAGGTCCTAGAAATCAACTCCACAATCTTTGGGCACAAGATACCTCATGCTTTTCCTTTTCACTCAATCTGTAAAGCTGATTCTGCCCCTCACTTCTAGGGCTGACATTAGCCTCCAGAATAGTCTTTGGAAGGAACCTCTCTAAACTTCTGATTGGGCCACCATCTAGAATTTGGGTGCGGTAGCTTTTTCCCTGGTGAGAAACATCAGGAGTGATCCCGATGGACGCATCTTTATGGCAGCAAGGTGTTTACTGATCAAAGTTCCCTGGCCACTGCGAGAGCAGGTGCCTTCCAGGCCTCAGACCAATGCTGCTGTGGAGATGTCTCAGTTAAGTCTCCTTGAACAATAGGAATTGTTCTGGGGTTGTCATGAGTCCAGAGTGAGGTACAGTGGATAAGCCCTCACATAAAAGCTGGGCACAGGGTAGGGACTACCTTTATGTCAGCTGCCAGAGATTCCTTTGTAACATTGAGGAAGTCGTTCCAATCTCCCGGGGAAGACTGCTCAGACCACTAGAGACCCCTGAAACTTGTTGCTACTTTACATTTCCTACAAATCTAGAGATATTCTTGTTCCATTAGGAGGAAAACAACCAGTTTAAAATAAGCCCTATAGTTTCATCCGTTCTTAGTTGATATTTGTCTGACCCTTTCTTGAAGAGTTTTATTGAGGCATCATTTACACATTGCTATTGAACATATTTTACCTCCTGGTGGTCTGTTAATCTTCTCAGAATGTAGCTCCTACCTGTGTTATTTATTTCCAGATCTAGTAAAACACAGATGACAAACCATTACAAAGCAATTACTTGAGGCAAGGCCTTGCCACCACCACTTTTCATCTTCACAAAAACCCATTGAGCAGAGTGGTGAGGAAATTTATTGGCCAAACTGAGGCCAATTCAAAAGGTACACGAGGTGACAGGATGGGTGAAATGCCAGGACAGTAGCACAGACCAGTCATCTGCTAAGCAAAGGGAGATGAGTGCATTCCAACCCATGAGGCAGGCATATCATCTTTCTCCAGTTGTACCAGTGGATATCCAGTGGATAACACTGTAACTCCAGTTGGGACAGAGAGGCCAAGTAACCTGACCAATGGCACACAGATAGTGGATGGCAGAGCTGCCTAAGGAGACAGATGTTCTGGCATTAGAGACACTCCTCAACACTATTGACTCTCTTAGTCTGACACCAGTGGGACTTCACTTTATGAGTCAAGTGGACTCTTGTGAACCTGACTTTCACAACTGCCTTTGTGGACTCCAGGTGGATCTTCATACAGGCCCCACAATCTTTTGCTGAGGCAACTGCTACACCTGAAGTCTTCCCCTCAACTATTCTTTGTCTGAGTCCCTTAGGTTAAAACTCCTTATACATTCTCAATGCCACATAAGAGACAGCCTACTTTTTGTGTCATATCATGGGTTTGGATCTCTGGGAAACTCCTTTACAAGACCTGATAGTTCTCTGAGTGCAGCTTTCTACTGGTGACAAAGATCTGACACCATGGCTCTTTCCTCCCTCTAAAGCTTCTACAGGACATGACAGTAGAAGCTTCACTCTTCTGGTCCGTGTGACAAAGGTGAAACAGTAGGCATCTAATTAGTTGTTGTA